TGCTCCTGGAGAGAGCTGTGAGGAGGAGGTGGTGTCAGACGCAGACACTGGTGTTGGGAGGGAAAGGCGGAAGGAGACACATCTTAGACAGGAATTTAGACAGCAGCACCTGCAGCCACAAGGGGAACCCGGGCATGCGGTGAGTTGACAATGAAATGGTCAACTCACCATCACAGCAACATAGAACTTGAAACTGCATTTTATGGAAAACTGGCCAGGAAGCTCCTGCGGTGCATGTTAACCAAGCAGAGACCTCGAGCGCAGATCCACAGTTGCAGACTTGTCAATGGGCTGTGCGCCCATGGCGCTGACACCTGGGAGCAGTCACGGGCGGCAGAGTGGTGGGTGCATCTCCTTACATACCTGAGCCAGCAGGCCCTGGAGAGGTGGGATCCTCGCTTGTTCCGTTCCTTAGTGATGAACCTAACAAACTCTTTCCCACCTATTCCAGAGTCTGGAAACAGCCTTTGGACCAAGATCCCATGGAGCCGTTTTCCTCTTCCCAGTTAGAGTGGGGTTTTCTTTGCTGAACAGCCAAGTGCAGCACAGCGATGCCCTCAGTCTCATTTTCTACCCTACAGTCTTGTTAACCAACTTTTTATCTTGCCCTGTTGAACTTACATGTTATGAGGATTGTCATTCAGCTTTTCCACAGCCTTTCCACAGCTTCCATTCTGCCCAGGAAGAGTTTTATATGGTTCACCCTTAAAGCAATTTTGTGGAAATTGTGTTCTTGGGATAAGGACAGGCTGGGGCGGTGAGGGGCTCATGTCCTCTGCCCACTGACGGGCAGCTGTCTGATGCAGACGGAAAGACTGAGCTATCTGGAAGGGGACCTGGTGTGTCACTTGATAGAGTTCACTGGGCTCCCTGCTGGAGGGTCGGGGCACACCCTGTTCTGACTCTGAAAGCTAGAGGCATGTTGCCTTAGGCAGCAGAAGTTGTGGTTCCTTAGAAACACATCCAGGTGACCTGCTGTTCTCCTTGGTGAGACCGAAAGCGTGGAAGGGCCCCTAAGAAAACCTACCTGGAACCAAATCTAAGGAAAGGAGTGAGTGGTCCCTGCACAGAGCTACCAGCATCACCAAGAGCAACTAACACCTGAATTAAATGGGGGCGTGTTGCGGTTCTGGGCTGGAGCACGCATGTGCAGAAGAGTCCAGAGAATTGTTCTGTGGGGACAGGATGAAGAGTGAGGAAGGACCGCAGGGCTGCTGTTTTCTAAGCCGACAAGCAGAGTTTGGCACTTTAAAGCTATGAACTTACAGTTCTATGTTAAAATGGGGTAGAGGGGCTGTGTGACATTTGCTGGGACTGCTCCATGACATTTTCCGGATTCTTGATTGGATACTGGATAATTTCAGTACTTGCATGGTGCCTCGTGCTTATTTCTGTCACAGGACTTAGAATGTGTAACTGTTGTCTGTTTCCTGTACCATCAGCCGCGCTGGACTAAAATGTCTGAAGCAGTCATGACGTCTTGTTTGATCCCAGGTGTGATCCCTTTCTGGCGTGGAGCTGAGACACATCCTGTGCGCAGTATTTGATGAATGTAGTGGGTGCGGTAGGCTGATTGCTGGCCCTAGGATCTAAATCCTACCTCCTGGAGCCTGGGTGTGTCACCTTATCAAGCAAAAGCAATTTTGCAGATGTGCTTCAAGTTAAGGATCTTGAGAAGGGAGACTATGCAAGGTTATCTTGGCTGGCGGGGCCTAAATGCAAACGTAGTGACTAGGTAAGAGGTAGGGAGAGGGAGATCTGATGTAGAAGAATGAAGTGTGTCCCTGAAGGAAGATCCAGGGTTTGACTTTGAAGACAGGGAGGGGCCACGAGCCAAGGAATTGAAGGAACGCAGCTCTGGAAGCTTCAGGAGGCAGGGAACCAGAGCCTGCCCTTGAGCCTGGGGAAGCGCAGCCGAACCAGGGCCTTCACTGCGGCCCGTGGACACTGGCTTTGGACTTCAGCCTCCAGAGCTGTTAGACAATAAATGGGCCTTGTTTTAAGTTCCAAGTTTGTGGTAATCTGTTCTAGCAGCCGTAGGAAACTAAGAGCATATGTGACTTCTAATAGGATTTATGTTCTCAGTTTTGTAAATATTTCAGGAAAGCACATGGTGCCTGTTGCAGGGCAATGCCTGCTACATTTCTGGGCCCCAAGACCTTGCACCCCGTCTTGTCCACTTTCCAGCATGAAACGGGCTGCCTCCTTGTTCTTATTTATATATTCCTGGCTGAGGTTAGATAGCAGCATTACTTTTGACATTAGCAAGAGAGCCTACTTTAGCTCAGTAATTCAAGAATTTATTAAGCACCTGCCATGTACAAGGCACTAGACCCTAGGCCGTGGGGTATGAAAGTGGAAGGACTTCACTCCCAGGGGGCTGGGGCGCATGTTTCAGTGAGGTTCAATGAGTGATAACATTTCCATGGAAATGATCATTTAAGTTGAGTGTTAAGTAAGACGTAAGAATGTCAAGTGAAGCAAAGGGAAGTTGTGTCGGGTGGGGGGCCAAGCGAGTTCGGAGATTTACGGGGAGACGAGAGCAGCACAACACGTTGAGTTTTACTTGTCAGGTACTAGAATTAATGATTTGATTCACTATTCTCATCAAAAGGGGTTTTATTCACTCTTATTCCTCCAAATGATTTGAAGCTCTCTTGGTTTATGCTACGGGGTTTATCAGATGCCCGAGCATCCTTGCACCTAATTCTTGAGCTGGGTCTGGGAAGGCAGCTTGGCCTGCTGGCTGGCCGGCTGTGCATTTTCTGAGTGTGTTCCTTAATGCGCCTGCCTTCTGATAGTAATTCGGAGGTAACACAGGAAGTTCTTGTCGGGACAGTGGGTAACTACAGCTAGGAAATGCCAAACGGATTAAGTTTGGGGTCTAGAGATACAGTTCCCCAGGTCTAGGATAGCCTTCATGGTTCTGATAGTCACTAATGCCAACTTAGAGAAGTAATGAAATGATAGTGTACCTGGCAGCCTGCAGTAGACAGTTGGCTTTTAGTCTGTTTTCACAGAATATTTTTAACCATTCGTTATAGCCGCAGATCACTGCTTCTGGGTCGGATGTCCTCAGTCCCAGGACTCTGCGTGCGTTTGACTGACGGGAGCTGACTTTGCGCACTTGGCCTGGCTGCTGTGTGCATGTCTCCCCAGGAGCGAGTTGCAGGTCACACTCAGCTTCCCGTTTCGGCTGTAAGGGACTGACTTGCTGCTTCAGCCTGATGGCCCTGAGGGGGATGGCAGTTTGCACCTCGCTTGTGGCACTTTGGTGGCTGGAAGTGCTGTCAGCCACCTGCCGTCCAGGACCAGTGTCCATGAGTGGCTTGGGGTCAGGTTTGCCCTCAGGATGTGGGTGTTCTTTCCCTGTGGAACTCGCCCTGTTTTCTGTCTCCTGAGTGACATTTCTTATTCCTTCAGAAATGATTGTGGCCAACAATGTTCACATAACCCAAAGCTTTTGGGACGCCTGTGGTTTTCCTCAAGCTCACCAGTGTTTGATATATTATGTTTCTTTTTAACTAAAAACTGTAAGTCAGGAAAGATTGGCCAAAGCCAATTAGATGACATTCAAAAGAGGTGTGGTTTTGCATATACGGTGAAAAAAAGTCCATGTGATGAGTGCACCTTGGAGAACTGACCTGGCATCAGGTCACTGAGAAGTAGAGGAGCCCTGGCGGGGAGGCTCAGTTGGTTGGAGCGTCATCCCCTGAACCAAAGGATTGAGGTTCGATTTCTGGACAAAGCACATGCCCAGGTTGTGGGTTTGACCCTACCCTCCAATCCAGGCACATATGAGGGGCAACCAATCAATGTTTCTCTCTTACATCAATGTTTTTCTCTCTCTCCTTCTCCTTTCCTCTCTCTCTAAAATCAATAAAGTGTCATTTCTTTAAAAAATAAATGAATATCACCTGGAGGTTTGCTTCCTACTTGCTCCGGGGGGTGGTGGGCATCAGCTGCATGGATACACGTTTGTGTAATTGCACCCTCTGTTTTGTGTGGGTCGGACCACATCTGAGTGGTTACGTTTGTGTCCTTTGAGAAGACAACACTTAAAGTTTGGTTGAGTGAAGTGTTTTCACTTTTTTTTAGCAAAGCTTGTGCTCAAGAAAGTTCATCCCACCGTCCGGAGGGGTTGCTCACAAAGCAGTGAGCTTCCCATTATTGCCAGAGTTCAGACTCGAACGTCATCTTCCAGAGTGGGGGCTCTTTCTGCACTGGGTCCCCACTCTGGAAACAGCGCCTGGCATAGAACTGTTGCACATATGAGTAAGAAACTAACGACCATGTCTTAGGGAGAAGGTCCTCTGGGAGTCCTGTGCTGGACGGACAGGAGGGCCTCACCGGTCCGTTCCTGCAGTGAGATTCTGGGAATTCAGGTCCATATATACCAGTGATTTTCTGTGAAAGAAATGATTAGCTGACAAGATAGTAAACCAAGGTATAGCATTTGTAGACATAACTTGACCTCCACAACTTAATGACCTTTTGTATTTTCTCTCTGTTGCTAAAATTTTACTTTTGACCATTAGGTGCTTTCGTGATGTCGTAATGTAAGAGTGATATGCCACCCACTTGTTGCCAAGATTGATCTGGATCGTCCAAGTGGCTAGTCACCTCTGGTGCCCTCACCCAGTCACAAGAGGTGACTTCCCAGCTGGAGGGAGAGTGTAGCAATGGTTCTTCATTAGCCAGGTCCCTCTTTTGACAGTTTCTGAGATGGCAACACACCGTCTCCCATCATGCTCTTCACATAATCCCAAAAGCTTTGAGGCTTGGAGGGCTCCTGCCTCTCATGAAAAGTGGAATGAGAGGAAGAAGTACTAGAAAACGACATGTCAGAGTACATGGGATTTGGAATCAAAGGTGTGATTAAACACATTTGGGGGTATCGTGTACCCAGAGCCCTGTGGTTTCTTCAGAGCAGATGCACAAGCTGAGAGATGCCCCCTGCTCTGTCTCTTTCTCTGACGCTCTGCTCTGTTCCACTGCAGAGCACCAGAACTACTTTGGGATAGATGAGAACCTTGGCCCTGTGGCTGTCAGCATCCGGAGGGAGAAGGTGGAGGACGCCAAGGAGAAAGAAGGGTCGCAGTTCAACTACCGGGTGGCTTTCAGGACCAGCGAGGTAATGGCTGCCCCGTGGTCCCTGTCCCAGCCTGAGCCTGGGATGTTACACTTTAGGTTGTTTCGGAGAAGTATTGCATCTTTTAAATCTTAAGTATTAACATTTCAGATCCTTGGAAGGGCTACACCTTTTTATTCTAAATAAAAGTTTGAAAGCCTGTCAGGGAAGTTTAGTGGCCATGATTTCACTGCCACCTGGCGTGATAGAAAGGGTTAAGTGATAAGAATGCCATGTTTTCGTCTGAGACAGAGGACGAACTTGAACTCTATAATTTCTGTCTGAATTTGAACATGCGCTTGAGATCTATGGCCCGCGGAGGATGGTGGCCGCCTCATGTTTCTGCCAGTACAGCAGCTCTGTCTGCCCACTGCTTTCCTCCAGGACCCAGGCTGGTCTCCTGCTGGTCTTGCTTGGAGTGAGACGTGAGATTGTTACACCAACAGCATGACAGGTTTAGCCACTTGGGCCGAGCTGTTGATTTATATAAAAAATTAGATCTGGCCTGAACTTTGGGTTTTATTGCCTTGACCCTTTTAAATTAGAGGGGTATATATTTGGGCAGCATTCCAAAATGTTCTAGTTGCAGAGCAGACAGAGCCTTCTGCTCGTCACCTGCAGTCCACGAGCCTGTCCCCACCGAGCTTGCCGCTGGCGTCCTGGTCTCAGGGCCTCTGGAGATCTGGGCGCTGTGCCGATGAGTGCGAGAGAAAGCCCCTCTCTGAAGTCACGTCTTGTAAATTACAGACCCATGCTGTCCAGTTCCGTAGCCACTGGCCACATGCGGCTATTGATATTTAAAGTATTTATTACAAATGTAGTTCGTCAGCCATACCAGCCACAGATCAAGTGTTCCGTGGCCACATGTGGCTGTGGTCCCCGTAGGAACCCGTGAGACAGGGAGTGGCCAGCGCTGCAGGAAGACCTGTGGGAGTGTGGCACAGGGCAGGTGCGCAGGCCCAGAGGCGCAGATAGAACAGGCTCCTGATTCGCAGGCAGGAGCCCCTCCCCGCGTCAGAGCCGCAGTTAGAGCAGGCTCCTGATTCGCAGGCCAGAAGCCCCTCCCTGCGTCAGAGGCCCAGTTAGACCAGGCTCCTGATTCGAAGGCAGGAGCCCCTCCCCAGCGTTGGAGGCGGGGTTAGACCAGGCTCCTGATTCGCAGGCAGGAGCCACTCCCCTGCGTTGGAGGCGGGGTTAGACCAGGCTCCTGATTCGCAGGCAGGAGCCCCTCCCCGGCGTTGGAGGCGAGGTTAGACCAGGCTCCTCATTCGCAGGCAGGAGCCCCTCCCCGGCGTTGGAGGCGGGGTTAGAACAGGCTCCTGATTCGCAGGCCAGGAGTCCCTCCCCGCATCAGAGATGCTGCTAGACCAGGCTCCTGATTTGCAGGCCAGAAGCCCGTCCCTGCGTCGGAGGCGCAGTTAGAACAGGCTCCTGATTCGCAGGCCTGGGCTTTGCCTCTCCCTCATGTCGGAGCTGAGACAGGTGTCACAACAGTGTTCCCTGTCTTCATGATGTATTTGAAGACATATCACAAATCACGAGGCAGACTTCGGTGACAGTCTTCACAGCATGAGTCACCTGCCGGGGTGTCACTGGGTATCCCCAGTCAGCTCCAGGAATTGTCAGCACAGTAAGTCAGAAAAGGAGAAGAAAGGAGTGGAAGCAAAGATGTAGAGAAATGGGGAAAGGAAAGAGAAGAGCGACAGCTAGGAGGAAAGGGATGACGGCGAGGCCCAGCCTCACAGGGTCCAGTGTCCGCTCCGTGTCCTTCCGGGTGGGTTCCCAGGGTTGGAGGGAAGTCTGAGTTCCCACAGCAGCGCCCTGCTGCCTTCTCGTTCCTCAGGCATCATTCGGATTATGCAGCCCCCGCCTGGCTGCCACTCTTTTAGTAAATATTAACTGAAGTCTCATGTTTTGCCCCTACAGCTTACAACACTGAGAGGGGCAATTTTAGAGGACGCTGTCCCCTCCACCGCTAGACACGGCACGGCGCGAGGACTGCCCCTCAAAGAAGTGCTGGAGTATGTGGTGCCAGAGCTGAGCATCCAGTGTCTGCGCCAGGCTGCCAGCTCGCCCAAGGTCTCGGAGCAGCTGCTGAAGCTTGACGAGCAGGGGGTGTGTATCGTGTGAGACTGGGTGTGTGTGTCTGTTTCTGAATGCTTTGGAGTTTCCCATCCATCTTTCTTTTAAGGTCATTTATTTTTAGTGCCTTGAAGCAGGGAAAATCTCTCCAGTTTTCCCCAACCATGCCTTTTTCTGTGGTCAGACGCATGCTGCCTTTATAGCGTGACACGCCTGCTGAGCTGTGCCTGTGTGACTTCTACCAGGGCTTGGTGTGTCCAGCCAGCAAGAGCACGTCTGACTCGTGACTCTTGGGGGTCTGGTATTTTTTCCAGGGTTTTAAAAACTCACGCTGGCCGTTTTCCTGAGCTAACATTTGGCCATGTCTGTGATGGCGGTGTCAGGCTCAGAAGGAAGTGCATGGTGTGCAATAGGGAGATTGAAGCTGACTGACCGAGACCCCACCCCTCGCCCCCAGGGCACAGGGACAGTACGGCCAACTGCACAGGGACCTTTGTAAGCAGAATGTGGCCCTGGCTGCTGGAGAAGTGTGAGTGCAGCAGGCTCTGGGAAGAAGAAATGGCATCTTGCAGGCAGATCTCCTGCAGGAGGTGGTGCTGTCACTGGGCAGGTAGCCGTGGGCAGAAGTCCAACAGGGACCAGGAGTAGTCGGCTGTCTTAGGAAGTGTGACTTGTTTCTTTACAAGAACTGGGCACACGTAGGGAGGTTGGGAGTTTTAAAAACAAAACAAAACAAAGTATGTTGAGGCTGGAGCTTGCGAGCCCTTGAACGCTGGGCCAGGGCGTGTGTGCTTGCTGAGCAGGCAGTAGGGAGCCGTCAAAGGTTTTCCAGGAGGACGCGACACGAACAGAGATGTTTTAGGGAGACTGTTCTGGTAGCAGGGAAGGGGACCGCTGGTGAAAACAGATTGATGGCCAAGAGCTCAGTTATGTGACTGTTGACATTGTCAGGAGAGAATTAATGGTGGAAGGATTGGGATGGTGACCCAGAAGATGGAAGAAGGTCCTTTAAGTTTCATATGCAAGGTAACTTGTAGGGGAAACTGAGAGGTAGGAGCTCAAGTATATGCAGTATATTTTAAATGAGTAGATTTGTTTTTGAATACATGTTTTAAAATATGATGACAAGTGGTGATGTGTATTTTCAGAATTTCCCAAGGAAAATTATCTTGAATGTTTTTGAGGGAATATGAGGTACCTTTTGGTTGACACAGAAATGCTCACTATAGACTATTTGATACTCACGTGGCAGAAATTGTAAAAGCGATGAACTTGCAGTTGGTCTAGTGAGCTACCACTGCATATTAGGCAAAGGAAGCAGGCTCTGTAGCACTCAGAATAAATAATGCTGAGATCTTTCTGTCTCAAGAATAAAGACTGACATTTAAAAAAATCTGAACCAAACCAGAACCCTAGCTGAGAGCAGCTGACTATGGTACACAGAATAGTTTCACCGTGATTGTTGCTGGTCAAGTGTGCAGAAGGTAGGAAAGGCCCAGGAAACAGCTGAGGGAACACATCCTCGTGGAGGAAGGGTGAGCTGGTTAGACATTCAGAGTGCAAGCAGGTCGATGAGAAGGGGCATGCATTTCCTGTCGCAGGAGAGCCTCCAGAGCCTGCCACCCCCGAGGCAGTTCTCTGTCCCTTTATGTTTCCAGTGCGTGCTGGTTCGTCCTTTAAGACATGTCTGTACTTGCCCAGAGCAGGTGCCTGCAGATGGGTGCTTGGTCCCCTCAGGCTGCATGGAAAAGTCCACAGATGGTCCATTTCCCCAAGCCTGGATCCTGAGGTCCTCATGGCCCGAGAGACATCACCACAGCCACAAGTGACTGTCTCCTCCCCAAATGAAGCAGGTGTTTGGGACGTCTGTGTAGCGGGATAGGACTGGAAGCATGCCAGGCCCAGAGACATCACCACAGCCACCAGTGACTGACTGTCTCCTGCCCAAGTGAAGCAGGTGTTTGGGATGTCTGTGTAGCGGGATAGGACTGGAAGCATGCCAGGCCCAGAGACATCACCACAGCCACCAGTGACTGACTGTCTCCTGCCCAAGTGAAGCAGGTGTTTGGGATGTCTGTGTAGCGGGATAGGACTGGAAGCTGTGCCAGGCAGTGTCTTAAAGCATTTAGGTACTTCTGGTGAGCACCTGTTTAGTGTGAAGTCAAGGAATCACTCGGGAGTGTTGGGTTCTGCCTTTAAAGAAACCAATGCATTGTGGTTTCTGTGTTTTTGTTTTGAGACTGTATCTGTTTGCTTTGTTGTACTTTCTTAAGAATATATAATGTGGGACTTGTAACTTCCTGTAACTCTCCATGGTATCTGTTCCCATGCTGCATGAAGGAAATATTAGTCCTGTTCATCTTTAAAAGAGATTGGACAGCTTTTTTTCACATCACAGATTCTAAAGGACCCTTAAAAGTACCCCCTAACCTGCCAAGGGGGTTGGGAGTTTATTGTAAGTAACACCATTTTTATTCAGTTTCCTAACAGTAAATCTGCCAGGGAGGGGTGGGCCAATTTTACGTTGCTGTTGCTTTAGTGGTTCTAACATTGATAGACATTTACAGGCTATATCCTCAGCTTATGCTTTCTTGGGGTTTGCCATCCATCAGGTTGGTCAGTCACTGGTGCAGCTGCTTCAGACTTTTTCGCCGTGGGAGATACGATAGGTACTCAGGTCTGTTATTTCCCTCTTCAAGTTTGCGAAGGTGTTTTGAGAAGGAAGCCTCCATGCTATGGAGATTATGAGAAAGTAATTATTTAGCAGGGCTTTGAAAGTTTTGTTACTTTATATCAATTCACCTCTCAACTTATAAAACCCATTTTTAATAAAGACTGTGCTAATTTATATAACAGGCAGGTTCACAAAATGATACAGGTTGGCTTTTTAAAATAAAAATTTAGATAAATTATGACAGTTCACTATCTCAAAATATTTTGGCATCTTTGACAGAATGGCTCATTTGTTCTTAAGCCAGCTGCCCGCGTCCCTCGTCCCCCCACCCCAGACACATGTGCACGTACATCTCTGGCTGCTTCCAGCGGGCGGGCTGACTAGGGAGAATGCAGCGGAAGGGCTTTCTGTTCAAGGCACTTTTGAGGCTGTTTTGCGTCACCTTTATTTAATTTTAAACTTTCTTGTCCATTACGGTAAGGCTCCTGGCCTTGGAAATAGAGCAGGAGGCACAGACTATGCCGGGAGGCTGTCTGTCTGTGCAGTGTGTCCGTACATCCGGCTCTCAGCACTAAAGTGCTATGGAGTTTTGACTGTTTGCCACAGTACAGGTGCCCAAGTGCCAGCCTGGCGGCCCCCCGGGACAGCAGGACAGGCCGTGCTTCATGTCAGATGGGTAGGTAAAGGTCAGTAGAACGGCGAGTGATCGAAAGGGCTCAGATGAAACCTTGTTCTGGGAGACCTGGGGTTGTAGGCCCTGGGGAGCTGGAGTCTGTTCCTTGCTTCGTGTGGTGAGTCTGTGCCAGCTCTCAGGACCACGGGGGGACCGTAGTTGGTGTTACATTTCGACTGTGTGCATGAAATCTATAAGAGACCCAGGTGAGAGCTGTGTTTTCACTGGGTGTTTCGTGCTGTTGTTCTGGGGGAGCTGCAGCCAGGTGGTGAAGCAGCCACGGCTGTTTATCCTCAGTCACCGGAGGTAGTTCTCTCTCCTGGGTTCCATCTGTGGCCTCTCACTGGCAACTGGTCCAAGGGGCAGAGCTGGTGTGTGCCTGTGAGAGTCAATCTGGGTGGTGTCCGTGCACTGTGTGTGTGTACGCATGTGTGCATGCATGTGCAATGCGTGTGAGCGCACATGTGTGTGATCATGTGTACATGCATTTGTGTGCGTGTACGTGCGTACAAGTGTATGTGCATGTGTGCTGGTATGTGTATAACGATGTTTCGACTGGAGCCACAGCTCTGGCCACTGTGATAGGACTCCTGGGGTTTTGAAATCTATTTTAGCCTAATTTCCTGTGTGCCCAGTGGCTTCTTAGATGGACGCAGTCCCGTTCACAGTTAGGATCTAGGCACAGGTGATGTGGCTGGTGGCCGGGAGGAGAGGCTGTAAAGTGAACAGCACTGCAGTCAGCAGAGATGTCCTGGGGTCTCGGTTCTCCAGGAGCAGGTAGCCTGGGAACAGCACAAGGGTAGGAGATGCAAACCCCGTGCAGTCAAATCTGCATATAAGGTTTGACTCCCCACAACTTAACTACTGATACCCTACTGTTGATTGGAAGCCTTACCAATAACATGACAGTCAGAAAACACATGGTTCATAGTTCTATGTATGGTATATTATGTCCTTACAATAAAGTAAGCTGGAGAAAAGAAAACGTTAAGAAAACCATAAGGAGAATACATTTGCAGTATTTATTAGAAAAAATCCCTGTATGAGTGGACACAAGCATTTCAAACCCGTGTTGTTTAGGGGTCAACTGTCTTTGACCTTTGCCTGAATGAGAGTCCAGAAGGAGTATCAGGTACACAAGACACCGAGAGAGTTTGGAGACTATGCCAGTCCACAGAGGGCTCTGCTCACCCCACATGAGGCCACACCAGCCCCAGCGCTGTGGCCCAGCAGCTCTGCCCGGGCTGCCTCCCCAAAGGATGGGCGTGAGAAGAGGGAGGCATTTCCTGTGGAGATGCAGGCGTGGTCTGGGGGCATTGGAGGCAGCTGACAAGGTGAGACTGCCACACAGTGTGGGCACATGGCGCTGGCAGTGCTCTGAGGTGAGCAGCAGGTAGAGCGGCAGAGGACGGGCAGACAGGGACAGCAGCGAAAGACAGAGCAAACCCGAAGATGCGGTCAAGGTCGGGAGTCCCTGCTGGGCAGAGGAGTAGGGGCACTGAGCTGTTGCGGCCACAGCTGATCACTCCGCAGCCTTTCTGGTGGACTCTCCTTGGGCAAGGCCCAGGTCACTGGAGGGAGCTGAAGTCCTCTTCCAGCAGCGGGACACCCCCGTGGAGCAGTCACGTGAGGCCATGTTACAGGGCCTGCCCAGACTGTGACAGTCCACGTCACTGACTCTGTGGTGGTGACTGCCGAATCCTGTCTTCCTAGTTCACTTTAAGGTCTTGAAATGTCTTCCGAGGCCCTCGAAAGCAGATCATGTCTGTAATGAAACAATATTAGGCGTTTAATTGTACTGAATGGTTTTGAAGATGGTCTATTCACACTAAATGTGGTATCTCATTTCTTTGGATAATTGGAGTGATCAGAAACATTTATTCCTCAATCACTGAATGAATGGAAACTTGTTATTTGTTCTTGGTTCAATACAGTTCACAGCACCAGGAATTAAATAGCTCACGCACAGAGTGGTCCCCCACACCCCCACCGTGGGTCCATCATTACAGGTAGCTTGTTCTGTCAGGCTGTGAACAGGTGATACTTCCTTTTCTACCCCCACCCCCGAGGGCATTCAGTCAGGGTCCAGTGCATGCAGAATACTGTCCTGCTTGACTCTGCCTGCTCAACTCTGACTTTATTCTGGTGCAACAAGCTATTTCCTGCAGTTGCTTTGATTCCCCAAGCAGGTGTCTCCCTCACACTCTTGGTGTGTGTGTTGTCTTTAGATAATGGAGATGAGACTGCTTCCATCACTCTGCCACTCGAGGGAAATGAGTATCATTTTGCCTTATTTCACTGATATATTCAGCTATGAATTTTGATCAAAGGCTCTATTTTATAGCTTGGTAATAAAAGTGAACCACGTTATGGATTGATGGCTTGAGAGAATCGGAGATGTCTGATACTCTGTCAGTTTTGGAGGCTCAGATTGCTGCTGGGAAGATTGAGTGCTCCGATTTCGTGAGCGAGAAGTGGCTCCTCTTTGGGGAAACTCAGGAAGCTCTAAAGACGGATCCGGTTTCTCCCCAGCCTTGGGAGGAAGCCACCCTGCTCCCAGCACAAGGCAGCATGGACTGAGACAGAGTTACAGCAGGCAGGAACTCTTCAATTGCTATTAACATTCTTTATGGTCCATTGTATATTTAGCAGATGTTTTCTTTTCAAGATAGTAAAAAATGTAGAAATGACTAACTGTACAGCCAAAGTCACTTTTATGGAAACAAAACATTATTCTATTTACATACATAATCACAGTGTCCTTTGGGATTCTTGCCTTACCAGACCTTAATTTGATTTGTTTTTTTTACTGCAGTCTTTCATATTTCATATTTTTATGAATGTTCAAAACACAACAAGAAAGAACATTAGGAACCAGGGAGGGAAAGCTTTTAAAAGTCTGTGGCCCTTTTTTTCCCCTGACTTGGAAGATGATGCTCATTAATCTGTGGCGGGTGTGAGGGTAAGTATTTCCACAGTTACATTTTTGAGTGGTTGCTTGAACTTATCCACTCATTTTGCAAACATGGAGAATCCCACGTGGCCATGCCACACATGTCCCTCCAGTGGTACTTGGGTGTTTCTGGGTTCATATGTGTTTGTGGTCGTTTGTACAATGACAGTTGCTTCTTCTTTTACGTATTTGCTTCTGGGAACTGCCCTGACATGCTGTCCCGAGAATGGAACTCTAAGCGTCTGTCGTTCTCGTTTTCCTGGAAACTCGCTTGTCTGCTGCTCACTCACAAGTGCTCACGTTGCTCCCCCATTGCAGCTGAGCTTCCAGCACAAGGTCGGGGTCCTTTACTGCAAAGCAGGCCAGAGCACGGAGGAGGAGATGTACAACAATGAGACGGCGGGGCCGGCCTTCGAAGAATTCCTCGATCTCCTGGGCCAGCGAGTGCGGCTGAAGGGGTTCAGTAAATACCGTGCTCAGCTAGACAATAAAAGTAAGCTTCCTTCCTTCCTTGTGTGTTTAAGTCTCCCCAGCTAAGCCTGCTGCCGAAACCCGAGCGGGCGGTCACCTGCGCTTCTGTGTTGTCCCCGGAGCTGCCTGGCAGCTCATTCGGAATCCGGGTTATATTTCCTCGCTGAGCGCAGCGACACTGTTCTCAGGAGGTGTACGTTTCACATGAGCTCAGGGGCAGTTCCTTCTCCTTTGTAACACCAGCCAGAGACTCCCCAGTGCTTCGTGAAGAACCTTTCAAAATTTTCTTCTTTCTTTTAACCTCACCTCTTTCATTATCCCTTGTTCTGGTTCACCAAGGACGAGCACGCCATTCATTTCTAAAAGACTCTTAACCCATTCACATGCTCTCGGGCTGACGTTGTTCTTTTCTGGTTTTGTGATGTGAACTCAGGAGTTGGAGCTGTGATGAAAAAGCTGATGTGTCCAGTTCTCAAGGACCTTGATCAGGACACCTAAGGTGCCGGATTGGCCAATTTAAAACGCAGGTTTTCTGTCAACGTCATGTGTGAATTTGTCTTGAACCTTCATTTAGAATATCATATTTCTTATGGTCCTCATAAATTGTAAATATTCTAGCGCTTTGCTGTTGTTGAATTGCTGTGCACCTAAGATACCAGGCAGAGGAATTTCTTACATTTTGGAAAGTTTTGCTTATTATCAAGCAGTGCACTGCTTGTTCTGGTAATGAGAGAGGAGCAGATAGAGTCTGGAGTTGGAGGGTTTGGGAAAGTGTTCAGCCCACTCCTGGTAGGGATGGTGAAGTGGGGGCATCAGTGTGTGGCTGAGCTGGCATTGGAGCCAAGGTGGCCCAAGGCCCCGTAGCTCCCTGCCCCCAGTGTCCACTCATCGGGACCGTCATTGGTACTTGCCTGTATCAGGGTGGCGCCAGGTCTTCATGCATCTGTCTTCAGTTCTGGGTTTGAAAGTGACACTGAGAGGACAGGTCGCAGGACCTGGAGACAGTGTTAGCTCACCTGGGCCCATGTGTGTCCAGGGTTGGAGTTGGACCATTGGGTTGAATGCACATTGCTCTTGCCTCAGACATGTAAAGAAAAGGATAGAATGTATGACACCCACTGTGAACATCCATGTATTTTAAGAAAGTTCAGTGAGACCTTTTCTAATTTTTCTTGCCAACTGCTCTTACCTACACACACAACCTACCCCTGTAGGTACTGGTATGCCGCCCATAGGGACATCCTTCCGGAAAGCTGCCACCGACGAGGAATCGTCCCTAGGCGCACCTGCCACCTCTCTCCAGTGGAGTGGATCGAGGAGACGTTCTAAGAAACTGCAACACAGATAATGCAGATATCTTCCTATGTACATAATTGACATCAGCTTTTAATCCTTATGACTTCAGGGATGTTCTTGATACATTAGTACTAAGCACCTTAGCTCACGGAAATGGTGACATAGCATGAGATTGTGACATGTTGATTTCAAATAATCAACAAATCTCTAACTTATTTTTATAAGCTAGGCATTCTGTGAGATGCGGAGAAGTCTGAGACATTTCTTTAGTAGAGAGGAAGTTTCTAAGAATGATGTTTCATGGAATAGTCCAATAAAAATGGTCTTTCACAGAATGTACAAAAACTATCTTAAATTCAGGAGAATTGTGTTCTAATTTTAACTCCTGTCAAATCTGGGCCTCATTTTCTTCACAGAGGGAATTCAGAGTGGTCTAGAGTATCAGGGATGTCTCTTTGAGCTTTAACCTGGGTGGTGGTTCTCTCAAGTACACACTGTGATGGGGCAGGGACAGAGTGGCTGGGGGCTGCCGAGATGCTCTGCTAACCACAGTGAGTGGACCCCAGGTGTGGCGGCCTGTCTTGGGACTGGGTGCTGAGAACGGTGGAACTAGACATCTCCTGCATCTCCTGTGATGGACATATGTGGCCAGTCCCAGAATGAGCTGATCGGTTACCTTCTCCATCACCACGCTGCTGTTGGAGATAAAAATATAGAATTTCAGAAATTCATCTTCTAATACTGCTTGGAATAGACAGATTATTACCACATTAAAAACATTTTTCTTACCTCCCAAATGCATTTTTCTTCTTTTATTGCAATTTTCTGAATCTGAAACCCGTTAGCTAGACTGTGAAGTGCCCGTCAGGATTTCTTCCACTGAATTTTAACCATCACAGTGTCACGAGCAGAGTCACAGCATGCTGAGCCACCACCCTCTGACCCTCAGTGCTGTTCTGGGCAGTCAGTCTTCAAGGACAGATGCAGTCCTCACTCCCTCCTGTGCGTACCTGCTCATTTCCACAGCCACGTCCTCTGCCAGAGTCCTGAGCCAACACGGCAAAATGGAATATCACTTTCTAAAAAATCCTATGAAAAATAACAAATGCATTTAATGAATAGTAAAAAGAGAACATCCCTTTATTTGGGGTCTGGTTGATAAATAGCTAGTTCATTAGGTGCATGTCCCTTCTGACCATCTGCAGCTTGACAAGTCACAGTCACATGCAGACATGTGAAATATGCCCAGTGTTTATGAACTTGCCCACGAGTACCTTTTCAGAGTGTGCAGAACTATATGAGACATTTCTTCTAGAGGGTTTTCAGGACGATTTCTGAGTCTGATATAAATATTGGAAATAAAAACATACTACAGGATTCAGGAAGGCCCACGAAGGCTAAATGTTCTAAGGTAAAAATTCACATTTTTAGATTTTAAAGAAGGTTAACCCAAGATGACTACTTAGAGTTTAACCAACAAATACAATGGAATAAAATTTGTTTTAAGTGGTATTGAACAGTATTGTTTCTTGTTTAAAAGGTAGAAAAGCAATCCCATGTATAGGTCAAGGATTGAGAATATCAGTCCTGAGGTCTGTTTACATCTTAATTTATATTTATCTTATTATCTTTATTTATCTATATGCACAGTGGTTCAGCACCACATCCTAAAATTATTACTTGAATGTTTATAGTTGCCATGTTGATTCGGGTGTCTGAGACTCTCAGTCTCAGGTAATCCATTGATGATACAGGTGGGGTTTGAATCACAGAGAATCACTCAGCTTTTCAAAAGACGAATCACCGTGTGATTGACAGGGGTTCAGATGTCACAGTTTTAACGTGTCAGTGCATAATGTGCAGAAGAGATCACGTTCAGTCTTCGTGGTCTTAGTCATGTGACTATCTTGCATTGCCTGTTGAAAACAGAAGACAATTATTATATCATTCGGGGAAGGAAATGCTTGCATTCCCGTACTAAGTTCGTCCTATTTTATTGTTCTGGGTTCTGACTGAGAATGAACTGGAAACACACACACTCACAAGGATGGGGCCAGGGTACTGCTGGTTGGCTCAGACCTTCAGGTGCACCCAGGCTTTCACCTGCCACCTTGCCACGTCTTCCCTCCTGCTCTCCTTGCCCCAGAAGTCCCTCAGTCCTGGGGGTCACCTACGTCAGGTGGCAAGAGTGTGGGAGGGGGACCATGAGCTGGGTAGAAGGATGTGGGTGCGAGCAGGCAGGGCCGCAGATCTGGACTGGAAAACAGTAGACACAGTGTGTAGTGAGAGGGCTGGGTGACTGTCGGGATGCTGGTTGAGTAGTTTGTTTTCTCAATTGAATTGCTTTCTGTAATAATGACATTTTCAGTGTTAAATCGCGGAGTTTTCAGTTGCCTAACTTGTTTTTGTGATTATCTGCCTTCAGCTGACTCTACAGGAACTCACTCCCTCTACACCACATACAAAGACTATGAACTCATGTTCCACGTGTCCACCATGCTGCCCCACATGCCCAACAACAGACAGCAGGTATGTGCTTCCCACCTTCCCTTCACAGCTCAGGCCAAAGCTGAGGCCAGCCCGTGGGGAGAATTCGTGCTTGTTGAATTTGCAAAGAATCATTGGTTTTATTTCTTGACATAATGACTCTTGAATCATTTGGAAATATTTGGGTTCTAAAGGGAGTATTATTTATTGCACCCATTTTATTGCACCTTTCTTTTTAAAACTTATTAACTCTTCCATGCTCACCCTTATTTCTGGCTAGGCAGACATCTCAAGGAAAACCAGCGTCAACTGTGTTGATTATCAAAGGCCAGCTGTGCAACCTGCACTTGGGTTTCTGCCTGTGGGTAGATGACTTATTCACGGAACATACCATAAGGAAGGGTCTTGTAATTCATTCACGGCGTGGCTGAATTTTAGGGGTTTGTTGTATTTGGGTTAAATCGGGAGTTAAAACAAAGTTTATTTTCATACTTAACTGTACTCTGGCTTGAAGTATATTGAAGCACTGCAGACTGTGTCGGAGTTGCTCAATAAGTACTTGTCGAATGAATGAAACTTAATGGTTGCAGAGAATTTTCCTCTTTTTAAATGCTTATGAAATTCGGCAAAGATAGTCAAAACACACATTTTCCCAAAGAAGAGGCCACTTGCCTGTCCCCATCAGAGTCGTGGGAAGCGCCTCAGATCCTGCAGCCAAGATGAAAAAGCAGACCTCTGATGCCTCAGCTGGCCCCTCACTTCAGGGCCAGCTTCTCGATCCATTTTATTCTCCTGGTAATTCCTGGAGAGCGTCCTTGCCGTCTTCTGTCTGGTACTGACCTCAGCCCTGTCCTCCCTGGATTTTCCACAGTGCTGTTCAATAATCAGCGTTCTCGCTACCTCCAGAAGTTCCATTTTTGGATCCCATAACTATTTTTGAAGAGATGGAGTTAAAAATCACTATAGCACACATATGTACTATATATGTTTAACATGAAGGATTTCTAGCTCTTAAACCATTTATTTTTAATAAAGTAGATTCACTAGATAGGAAGAAGCTGACTCAGACTGGTGCGTTGTCCCGGGTGCTCAAGCATCAGGCAGTAATAAACCGTGGCATTGTCACTCAGATGGGACTTCCTCAGGCCAAGAACATCTGTCAGCAAGTCAGCCAGTGCCTTTTGACCCCAGCCATCCAGTGTCCACACCACAAAGCCCTCCAGCTCCCTATTGGCTGGAGTTGCTGGGCTCCAACTGGATTGGCCCCGCCCTTTCTCTAAGGCCACCTCTGGAAATCTGAAGTTTGCTTGACTGTACTGTTGCCAGAACTCAAACTGGCTTCCGCCCCCGCTTTTTGTTGTATAGTAATTAAAATGTGTGGGTTTGAGTTCTCTGTATCTGCCCTCCCCCCCTTTTTTCCCTCAGTAGAACTACCCTTAAAAGTCTTGTACAAAAAATGTGTGTGGAGAGATGGGGGATGGGGAGTAATGGGGTGGATGGGTGTTTTAAACCTCTCAAACAGGAGATTTAAATATAGGTATATCCCTGTACATTGAGATAATACATTACAGACTGTGTAGCTTAAAGACTTATCTGGTTACCTTTTTAAAAAACTTGAATGCGAATGTGAGGCATTGAATAACTTATGCTGGTGGATTAGAGGTGGAAAACTGTTTTGTTTTTCCATTGCTCTTACTGTATGTGGAATATACATGGTCTTGTGTGTGGTTCACTGGGAAATCTCGATAGCACTTCCCCCTGATCCACAGGGGGTACATTCCAGGACTCCCAGTGGATGCCTGAAAGCACGCAGAGTACCAAACCCTATGTATACTATGTATATGCACTATTTTTTTCTTCTACATACATACCTGTGATAAAGTTTAATTTATAAATTCAGCACAGTAAGAGATTAACAACAGTGATTGATAATAAAATAGCAACATGCTACAATGAGAGTTGGTTGAGTGCAGCCCCCAGAGTTGACTGTCCTGCAGTGCTGTGAGCAGGTGCTGGGCAGAGATGGTCTATATTTTGGGTGGGACAGAACGGAACATCCTGAGATTTCATCACACTACTCAGAACAGGGCGAAATTGAAAACTTAGAAATTGTCTATTTCTGGAATTTTCCATTTAATACTTTCAAACTGTGGTTGACTGCGGGTAACTGAAACCATGGAAAACAAAACTGAGTCAGGGGGAACCACTGTGTACTAAACACGCTGGGTAGCAGACCAGCATAATACCTGAGGGACGAGTGACGCGGGGGAGGTGAACTGATCTCAGTTGCTCTCAGTCCTCGTGGCCTTGGGTAAGGTTCTTAGTCTCTTAGGAAATTTGATAATTATATGAGGACAGGATCTGGATTGCTGGCTAGTGTGGCTTAGCAGTTGAGCATCAGCCTACGCACCCAGAGGTCTCCAGTTCGATTCCCGGTCAGAGCACGTGCCCAGGTTGTGGGCCCGATCCCCAATGCGGGGCATGCAGATGGTGGCTGATCGATGTTCCCTCTCATCGATGTTTTTATCTCTCCCTCTCCTTTCCTCTCTCTCTAACGTCAATAAAGAAAAAAATTTTTTTAAAGACAAAAAAGAAAGGGTTCTAGGGTAGTCCCCAGGCTCAGAGGGAGAGAAGGCTGTGTCTGGAGACCCCCCAACAGGTTTGGAAAAGGTGGGGTGGCACAGGGGCCTGGCTGGACTGGATGGAGTAGAACAGCTTAGTGTCAGAATCCTGTGATTCTGCGCTCTTCTTTGAGGCTTCCTTCTTCTAGGCTGAAAAAAGCTTCGGCAGAAGAATCTAGTTGTTAATTTTTTTTCTTTATTGATTTTAGAGAGAGAGGAAGGGAGAGGGAGACAGACAGAAACATCGATGAGCGAGAACATTGATCAGCTGCCTCCCACACGCCCCACCCTGGGGACTCGGCCCACAACCTGGGCATGTGCCCTGTCCGGGAATCAAACAGGCGACCTCTTGCTGCATGGGTCTATGCCCAACCAGCCTGGCAAGAATGCAGTTGTTAATAGCAAGAACCCTGGAGCCATGCTTCCTGGATTTGAACCCTAGCTACTACATTTCTGACCTTGAGTAACTGTTTCTAGGCTTTAGTTCTCTTTACTGACGACAGAGACTAGTGTGTCTTCTTTCACTGAAGTGTGTCCCTAAGCACCAAGCAGTCTGTAAACATTTGTTGAATTAATTATTAAACCTTCCTTGGATGTAATTGGAATTAGATGAGTTAATACATATAAGCACTTGAAATGTGCCTGGCACAGTGCACTCAGTAAATTTTACTGGTAACTGTTATTTTATAATTTACTAGATATAAAGCATAAGTATTTTAGATGACTTAATTTGAATTTTATTTTCCTGTTCCCAACCCCAAAGGTCTATTATAAAAAACTTAGGCCCAAACAGTTAAGAAAGTAAGGGACTAATTTATCAATAATTTCGTAAAATCACTGTTACTTTGACGTCTGATATTTTGCTGATCACGCGTTGTCATCAAAATATTCTGTTCACAGATGAATGATGCCAGTGTACAGTCTTGGAACATGGCCTTTCCAAATTTGTTAAGGATTTTGCTGACTCTTTCTGTATCTCTCACCCAACCCATCTGTGCCCACAGGTTACATTAGTACCAAGGGCATACATGTCTGAAATGACCAGCTGGGTTTGTATGTGGAGGCCCCCAACTTGGCACAGTTATCTGGATACACATAAATTGTGCCCATGACTTTGGCCTCATTAGCATCCTGGTACTTGTGACTGTTTAACTGGCCCAGACTCGTCCACATCAGATATAATTTCCTCTGTTTGTTCTTGTAATAAATCAAGCTGAAAGCTGATTCCAAGATGTATTAAAAGTCTTTAGAGAATTCACTGCAGCAAAAGAGTTCAATCTTGGGAATGTCTGACGCTTAGAAAGAAAACCTGGCCAGACCAGGGAGTGGTGAGAGGCCCCCTCTCAGAGTGCTTCCCTCCTCAGTGGTCCCGCAGGTCTCGGGCCTGTTTCATGGGCTCTCAGTTGTCTTTCACAGGGCCGTGTCCCTGGGGGCTCCCTTCTCCTTGTCCGGTAGACAAACACAGTGAAGCAATCAGGCAGTTACCAGTGGAAAGAGCTCCACAAATTAGCTTCAAACTACACTCGGCACGGAAACCTTTTCTTCAAGCTGAGCATACAAAACAGATGAAGGGAGCATGGTACCTGGCCTTGGTAACCTTTTTTTAAATGCATAACGTTAGAGCTCTCTACTTGGAGGGGTGTTGAGCCTCATGGAGGTCCCCAAGGAATAAGACAAGCCTGTAGACATTCCACTCTAAGAATACTGATCTTTGCCTGGTGCCGGGCTTGCATCTACAGAAGGGAGACACCTTGTTAGATTTGAGCCAGGCTGGATCCTCTTCTCCTTGTGACTCAGACAGATGGAGGACGCTGCCTCGCAAGGTTTGTACTTAACTTCTGAGAGTCGCTAACTGGTACGGCCGAGGGACCGTTCTGTCCTGGAGGACTGCCCTTGAGGGCCGGGCAAGCAGGTGCTGACTGCACTTGGGTTCACCTGTGCTGTGCAGTCTTTTGGAAGAATAAAATGCTTTCTCAGCTTTCCAAGATCTGCTTTATTCCCAGGTCCTAAATAGGAATGTAGGCTTATACCTGGTAATAAGAATTACTGCATAGAATAATGGTTGGTTTTGCCCAGTGTCGGAGATACTTGTAGCTTCATAATCCTGTTGTCCTTGTTATTATTATTAAATCATCAGAAACCCACATCTTGGTTTATTTTTATTACTATATTTGCAAAATATTCAGCCTTGCATGACTGGTTTGTACATTTACTCTTGCTATTGATAAAATATTTTATATTTTATATAATATTTAATATAAAATATTTAAAGTAATGTTTTTATATTGTTATATGAAGATGATACCTCAGTGATAAATCCTAGAAATGGTCATTAAATGTGATCTGATCGCCCTGGCCAGTTTGGCTCAGTGGTTGGAGCATCGGCCCATGGACCAGAGAGTTCCAGGTTCAGTTCCCGCTAAGGGCACGTACTTCGGTTGCAGTTTGTCCCTGGCCTCGGTTGGGGTTGTGTGGGTGGCTGCCACTTGATGTGTCTCTCTCACATCGATGTTTCTCTCTCTCTCTCTTTCCCCTCCTCTCTCCCTCCAGCTCTATCTGAAGATAAATGAAAAAAAAAAAAAAATGTCCTCAGGTGAGGATAAAAAAGTAAAATAATAAATGGGATCTGATCTTTCTGCTGCTCTGAGATGAGAGCGCTTACCCAGCATGCAGGTCTGTTCAGGGGGCAGGTGGGCCAGGCTGTCTCTCGCTAGAGACAGAGCGTCTGCGTTCGTGTGGGGATGTGCAGAGATTTCCCTCTTACTGTTCAGACTGCGTTTCTACACTCACTTTCTCCATGGCTTTCCCTGGGAAACTAGACATCTCTTAAAAGTCAAAGCAACGTTCTAACCTCGGCTTGAGTATAGAGTACATGGAGGGTGTGTTATGTGTGTTTTGTGTGTACACATGTAAAATAGGCAGGTCTATGTAAAAGGGGAGATGCTTCCCAAGCAGGTTAGCAAGTGCAGAATGCTGCAGAAACGAGTTGGCATGGTGGGGGGCAAGGGGCTCTAGCAGGTGGGGGAGGCGATAAGGTCAGAGAGGCAGGAGGAACCTTAGGCAGCCCTGTGCCTCCTGACTGGACTTTGGATTCCAACCCAAGGACTAAGGTCCAGAACTTAGGATTGTTTGATGGGGATGCATTTAATTTTTTGCTCTGTTCCAAGCTCATCCCTTTGAATTTCAGAACTTGTAATCATTTAATGATGCAGGTTTCTCTTTGAAATCAATGCTCATTTTACACATATTTGCTTCTAAGACGAGCAGCTCTCTGGAGTCTGCCTCCTCTAGTTCAGGTGACACTTTCTCCTCTGACGGGACTTAGGGACTCCTGAACCATGTCCCGTTTCCACCTCCCCTCCAGAGTGAGGTGCAGACTGCTGTTTTCCTTCTGTCTTGCTAGGATTTTGAAAAATTAACAAATGAGTCTGTTCGCATAGAGGCTTATAGATCTGCCTTGTTCCCCTTCCTGCCACCTTGAGCTTTGTGTTTGCACTTGTTTTGCTTGTTGTGCTGTTTCACAGGTAGCCCTGTGGACCCCGACTTTGTTAGGGGGCTGAGAACAACCCTGAGGTTGCTGCTTCCGGGCGTGTGTGCCTTCGCCATGGGATTGGGCGAAGAACCTCACTTTCACTTTCCTTGTCATAACAAGAGCCAATTTCTGTCTCACTTGAATCAAGTGCTGGACATTTTGTGGAACTCACTATGTAGGTCTGCCTGGTGCAGTATCTGTTGACTCACTCTTGCAGTTGAAGACACTAGGTTGGTTCTCTTGGCCCTGAGAGTGTCATGAGCTCCAGGTGTCCAGAAAGGAGAAGTCAGCCCTCACGCGTGCCATTTCCTATTCCAGTTCCCAAGCAAACGCTGCCTGGTAGTCAGGGGCCTGCCTTCCTGGTTGCTGGGCTGCATTTGTTTATGAGTTGATACACCTTTTCCCTTTCATTTCCAGACTCTGATTATAAAGAATATCTCTGACCAGTTAGAAAGAAAACAGCACTGGTCACAAAAGAAATCATTTACCTTTTTTTGTAAGAAGTCCAAGAAATTACTTATCTAATGTTTGATAAGATCTTAGCAAACAGTGAAGAATGTTTTGGTTCACTTTCCAGATGTTTTATGTCTTGAGTCGCTAATGAAATTCAAGCATCCTGGTAATGGACAGGGTGCTAATTTTTCTTATTGTATTCTCCTACAAAGAGTTTTAGATTCTTGTCTTCCTAATGGCTCTCCTTATTCCACCCCCGACCCCCTCCCACACACTTTGTTTTTTCTACAAAGTGCATTTTGTGACCATGGTTAAAAATTAACTAGACTTTTAAAAACATTTTGGGCCCACTTTACAAAGCAAAAGAATGTGCTTAGAAAGGGACAAAGTGGTGACTGTTGTCAAGGTAACTAGTCCTAAAGTTTCCTTAGGCCCCTGCATTAAATACTGCTGTGGTGAAGTGTGGTGCGGACCCGACTTCCCTCAGGAGGAAGGGAAATGGATAGGAGGAGCTGTCCTGTTTGCTGTGACAGTAGCCCCAGCGAGGGCCCTGGCAAAGGAGTCCACGCCCGCCCATCACCTTTGATTGGCAGGGCCTGCAAGGTGAAGTGTGGCCCAGTAATCACTCTGGGTGGGGGGCGGGGTCTGCCTTGGCCACTGTGACCTCCACCTTCTGTTTGTTAATCTGAAAATTCCTCTGTTTCAAGGATATCGAGTCAAGTACAGTGTAAGCTGTTGTGTTTCGTATTCACCAAATATGCTGAACACAGTATTTTAGCTTTTTTGTTTTTAACTTTTCATTGGTTCCTGAACGTCCCCATCCTATCACAGTACATATGAATCATGTATTTTCATTAGTGGGGGACGAGGGAGGAGAATCTCAGCCTAGGACCATTTTTCAGCTTTTCTATTGGTGCCTGTTTTAGATACTTCCCTTTGCTTCCATCTTCTGTCCTTCCCATGCGCTGGTTCTGTGGTCAGCGTCTGTGTCCACCGCAGTGTGGCACATACATCCCAGGGAACGTGATGTAGTTTGTCACTGGGTTTTCACATGCTTCTGAAGTGACACATTTTACTTAAATATCTAGCAAACATTTTTTACAATACAGGTGACTTGTTGAGTTTGACAGTAAGATGGTTTTCATGTGTTTATAACTTTCACCGTGGAGATTTAAATAGGGATTTTCCAACCTATGAATCAGCAGTTTAGCTGCACGAAGAGAACTCTAGGAGAGGGACCTTTCATTCCCACTGGTCCAGGCCTTTCATTGTGCGAAATCATAAGTCAGGGGCCTGACGGCGAAACCCTTTTTGTGTTTGGGTTTAAAAGGTTTTACAAGTTGAACTTAATGCTCTTCACAGTGAGTGATGTGTGCTGTGTAGGTGCCAAACACATTTAAGAGCAAGCTGGTTGTCTTTGTTATTGCTGGTAAAGAGAGATTTACTACCTGAGATTACCCCACCCCTGGCTGACATCACCACTCACGCAAAGCTCATTGGACCTGTTAAAACTGAAGATCACAAACTGGGAGCTTGGATGCCACGCCTTTACCTGCATCAGTTCACAGGGGTCCCTGTGCATGGATTGCTCAGCATATATTCAGAGGTGGTCACAATTTCACGGCACAGTGTCAAATGGCTGTGATTATATGTACCTATCAGTTTTTTATTCATTTAGCAAATGTGTGTTGGGAGTCTGGTGTTTCCTGGGCAGGCTGTTAGAAACTAGGAAATCAAAAGGCAGTGGGACACTTCCCCTGCCCTCATGGGATCCTGACCCTCAGGAGAGGCAGGAGAGGTCAGCCAACAATGAGACAGTTCTGAGTACAACAGCTAATATTAGAGACAGGCCTGGGGGTATGGGTGGAGCTCCAACCTGGGCTTGCTCAGGCTGTTCCTTTCAGGTGGGGTGGTATCTAAGCAGAGACCTGAGTTGTCTAGAAGAAACTTGGGGTGAAGAGAGCAGTCTTGGTAGAAGGGACTTCAGAAGTAAAGATGTGACTTGTTAAAATGTTTCTGCTCTGGGCTCTTTCTCTTCTGCCACATTTGTCATTTATAAGATTACACACTATTATTTTTTAGCTGTTAGTCTGATGGAATGCTGTGTTTCTAAATTACATTTAAAATAAAGTTTCAGTTAATTCGTTTGAATATGTTAGCTACCACGATGCCAGTGCCCTGTGTTCTTGCTGCAGAAACACAAGGCTCCTAGCGCTGCAGTGCGAGACTCCAGCAACCTGTCCCCTCCTCGCTCTGTCTCCTCCTTTGAAGTTAAAGAGCTTAACCCATAAAGTTTTTTAAAGCACTTCGAGATTGAACACACTATTGTTTCAGGGTGAAAAAGGTAAAGAAAAGAAGAGGGAGTGCACATTGCAAGAATAATGGGGTGGGGCCTTCCAGGTCTTTGGAGGTGGCCAGCTTTTCCTGAGGCCCACCCAGGAGCACTGCTTTCCACAGACTGCTGCTCTGAGAAGCTTCTGTTCCTGCAGAGCATCTTGTTTCTAGCTCTGTCTGTGTTCACTGTCTTCACTGTCTTCACTGCAGCTTGAAGAAAAGGCATATAGGAAATGACGTCGTGACCATTGTCTTCCAAGAGCCCGGAGCACCTCCTTTCATTCCGAAGAGCATCCGCTCCCACTTCCAGCATGTGTTCGTCATGGTCCGGTGCACAAGCCCTGCACCGAGAGCGTGTGTGACAGGTGAGTGGGCGTAGCTCGGGCTCCCAGTGTCTCCACAGAGCTTCTCCCAGAGGGTGTGCTTTCCAGCTCTCACCTTACCCCGTAATTACCCCTCTTTTCTAATGGCTTCCCACTGTCTTTGCTCAGATACTTCCTTCTGTAAGAAGTAATTGCCTTCTTCCCATTTTTGAAAAAATGAAATGCCTAGCAATTTAGATCATAAATTATACATTTCCTTAATTTTCCCTTAAAAAGTTCCTCCAGCCCCTGCTGGAACCATCACTTAATTGTTCCCACCTTGGAGGTGGATGAAGTGGCCATTTCAGTTCTTCTTGAGCAGCAGAAATAATCGTGGGGGTAAAGGCTGCTCTCAGCCCCGCCTCTAGGATCACTCCCTCCCTCCCCCGGGGCTGTGCACCCAGGAGCTGCCGCTCACCTTGGGGGTTTCCATCGGCCGTCCACGGGCCTGTCCACAGGCCTGAGAATCCCAAGGCTGTTTCCAATGGGGTCTGCTTTTCTTCTTTTTTCCAAATAAAGGAGCAACTCTTCCTTAGGAAACAGCTGCCACAGAAAGATCTTATGTGAGGTTCCGGGAAAAGAGTGGGCCTTTGACCTGAGTTTGAGTGGCTCTTTATTAACTACTTTATTTTCCAGAGCCTTTGATTCCTTCCCTTAAACATGGGGATAATAGTACCCTCTTCAGGGTGTAGTTATAAAAAATAAATACCAGAAATTAAGCAGAACAACTGTTGGAGTCCCTGGCACTCATCAGAGGCTATTTCGTTAATAACCTGAGCACAGTCGTTGCTGGTTTACTGCCGAGGGGCCTAGGTGGGGCGAGGTGTGGGTGTGAGAGCATGGGGAGCCTGTGAAGCCGAGCAGCCTGCCTCCTGAAGCATAGAAACCAGTCTGTGTGTTAGATGTTCCCAGGTGACACCCAGCCCCTGCCAACCCCTCCTGAAGGAACACAGTCTACGCCGGTAGTTCTCAGCCTGCGTGTTGCCTACAGTCAGCTTGTTAAATTCCGCGGTGCCTGGCCCCACTGTGGTGTTCTAATGCCACGACCCGGCCCTCCTGTCCTCCTCCCGGGCAATCTGTATACACTCCCAAGTAAAACACCACTGGCCTCATGCTCAGATCCACTCGCTAATGATCAAAAAAAAAAACAAATTGTAATGTCTATACTGTATAAACATCATGCTCGAGTAGATAATGTTGGTACAAACATGGTCAATTGGCTGATTCTTCTGAGCTCTCACCCTAAGAATGGTAATTATGAAGAATAATCTTAAATGAACCCTCCTAATGGATTGGAAATGCAAGCCTAGGGCTGTTTTGTATTTGGTTTTATTTGATTGGCTGCTATTTTTTAGGTCAAATTAAATATTTTAAATTACTTTCTATCTTTACTTTATTGCTTATATCATGAGGGGGTTCATTAGCACAAAAATCCTAAACATCTGTAATACCCTTCTTTTCCCAGGTGTTTTATTTTAATTAAGTTACTAGGGAGGGTGTTTTTGGTGCAAATGTGTAGCTTATGCACAGAGTGGGCTGCATGGTTTTCTGTGATGGAGGGTGGTATGTGCCAACCACTCAGATAGACCCTGGTTTTCAGAAGCCACCTTGCTGTCACCAAGTGGTCATTGACCAATGAGACTCACAGGGAAAGTGAGCAGGGTGCCTCTCGTTTTTGGAGCTGCCTCATAAGCATTCCTGTTGACCATGTGGAAGGCCTCAGCAGTCAGCGCTGACCTGGAGGAGGGCAGCCAATCAAGTCCGTGCTGTTTCATGAAGCCACACTCATTCTGCCATGTGGAAAAGGGCACAGCACCCAGGTTTTTAAAAAACACTATATAGGTCTGTTTTACATGCTGTGCCTTGAAACATATCAGTGGCAAGATAAATTCATTAAATAATTCCCCCAAAGGAAATGGTGAAATACAGTCTAGGCCTCCTGTTTTCTAAATTGCAATGTCTCAGTCCATGGACGCAGTTTACAGAAGCCTGGGTGGATTGCACACCGCTCAGACGAACCCCAGGAGTGCAGTCTCAGAGCTGGTGAGGTGCAGAGGCAGGCGGTGTAGCTGACCAGGGCCTGCGGTGAGCGCAGATCCACAGTCCAGGTGGGCCGGTGGGTTGCAGTGTCCTCCTCTTGTGAAAACTGCTGCCCAGTAAGTGTGCATGTCTTGATGTTTGGAAAAGATGTTTTTACCTTGCACAGGTGTTTCTGGCATCCCCACAGATGCAGGATCCTCGCCAAGTTAACTTGAGTCCACATGAACTGGGAGAGGAAAGAGCAGGCAGCACATAGCATGATTTTAGCCTGAAGTTTGAAAAAGCAATCAGTCCGGCTGGTGTGGCTCAGTGGTGGAGCATTAACCCATGCACCAAGAGGTAGCTGGTTTGATTCCCAGTCAGGCCACATGCCCAGGTTGTGGGCCCAATCCCCAGTGGGGGGCATGCAGGAGTTGGCCAATTGATGTTCTCTCTCATTGATGTTTCTGTCTTTCTTCCTTTTACTTCCTCTCTTTCTAAAAAATTAATAAAGAAAAAAATTAAAAGAAAAAAACAAAGCACCCGTTTTTTCATTAAAGATTCTTTCATTTTAATAGTTGCAGCCACTGCAGAGCTAATTTGGAGGGTTTTTTGTCCAGGTACTTTCAAAGATTAACTCATTGCAAAATGTATCCCTTAGTAGCTGAATAAATAGACTTCTTGCTACACAGGCTTAGGAGCTGTCAGTTAAAAGGAATGAGATATCTACACAGAATGATAACTTCTATTTCAGAAACTGTAATAGGGGCCCCTCCTGACAAAATTAGCTGATAATTTTAACTTGATTAAAATAATTATTTGTGACAATAATAATGATAACAGTTTGGGTAATAATAGCTTTATATACATTATTTTGTTTAATCCTCACAGTAGGCTTTTGAGGATGGCACTGTTTTAACCTCTATTTTACAGGTGAGGAAACTGAGGCACTGATGGATTAAGTGATTATCTCAGAGATGCTGAGCTGGTGGAGCTGGAGTCCAGCGGGGCACCAGGCACTGGAGTTTGCTCTCCACCACTGTGCTCAGCGACAGCCCTCTGCCCTGCACAGGAAGAAATGCGCCTCTCCATGGTGTTGTTCTCGAGGGGTAGGGGATGGGGTTGGGGGGGTCTGCCATGTAATCCTCAGCAACATGTTTTCCAGTTCTTGGGATGAAATTAGTTCTAAAAATTATTCTTGCTTCCACCCATTGGGAAATATCTAAATCGAGCAAAAGAATATTCCTTCTGACCTAAACCCTGCTTGAAAGAATTTGGGATTATGTAAATTTTGTAAGGAGGCTCCTGCGCTTGGTCCCCATTCCCGAGTATCCCAGAAATGTTGGAGTAGTGATGCCAAAGTTCTGCTGCTCTTGTACAGTGCTGATCTCAGGGCACAGGGTTGCCGTGTATCGAGCAGGCATGTATTACACCTGCAGAGGGGACTCCAGTTAGATAGGAGGGTCAATTGTTTGGAACAGAAAGAATTGCCCTGTTAAAAGGTGCCTCCTCCTCCCTCCCTTGGAGCACCACAGTGAGAACCCTCTGGGCGCATACTGAGACATAGAAAGTTCTCCTGCTGCTTTGGCTTAAGTGCTACAAGCTGCTGTCAGAGAGTAGCTTAAAATCCACAGAGCTAAGTGCAAGAAAAGCAATCCTGCAAAGTGCCAGGTGGGGTTGGCCGAGGGGCCTCTGAGCTCAGCAGTCGGGGTGGAGGGGAGGCACCCAAGGTGAGGTCAGACTAAATGCAGTCCAGACAGGTGGCTGCAGGACAGCCCTCCAGATGTTGACATGTGAGAACAGGTTAATTCCTACTCTGTCTAGACTTTTTAGGGCCTTCCTTTGAGGACCTGGGGCAAGTCCCTAACATCACCCTCTGGTTTGGTGCATGGACACCTTCATGAATGAGTTTGGTGTGTCTGTCCTTCCTTCCCCTTTCATACTGACTAAGGCCCCATCCAGTCTCCATCTTGATGCTCAGTTCCCAGAAAGTGGACTTCACTGGGAGTGTGCAGGGACTCTCTCTTCTGACAGTCTGATGTACCATCTGCAGAAAATGAGTTCACACCTGACAACAGATCTGGACAGAGCGTTTTCATGCCTTAAGTCATCTCTTCCAGGACTCTTTACAGCGAGGAGAATGAAGCCTCGGTTGCTCCCTGTGCCTGTCCCAGCAGAGCGCTCCAGCCCGAGCAGGCGGGTTAGCGCCGCGCTGGCCGCAGTGGGAGAGCGGACACTGCAGATGCTGGGGCCCTCCAGTCACTCACTCCCGTCTTCTATTCGTTCATTTATTACTTAACTCCTTATAGTTGCTGTTATTCCAGAAAGGATTGGAGACATGGAAATGTCTGTGGCGTAGGGAGCACCACTGGTTCGATGTATTAAGGTGGTGGTTAGTATCACTGTACATTTGATTTTTTCAGTCCCTAGAATCGCTTGAAATAATTCACATAAAACCTTCATTTTGATTTTCAAAATATGGTCAAGTGAGTATTTCCTTAAAAAAGAGACACTTAAAAATTTTGGCTGTAAGTGTGACCGTTGTGTTCAGTGCCAGTGATGTCCCAGCCCACTCCTGGGTACTCGGGCTGAGCCCACTTCTGTTGAAATGTCGCTGTCATTTTCACTGACAACGAGCCCGAGAGCTGGAGTCCCAGCCTGGTGCTGTCTGAACCCCTTTGTCTCTGGTCCGCCATGGATCCATGACCCCGTGTTGTCAGCTCAGGTGGCCGTGACACCCCCACAGTGAGCATGGTATAGACAACAGACACACGTTCCTTGTGGTTCTGGAGTCTGGCCTGCCCAGGTCAGGGTGTGGGCAGGTTTCCTGAGGCGTCTCCTTGGCTGGCAGATGGTGTCATCTCCCTGTGTCCTCACAGGTCTGTCCTGGGAGCAGGAACATCCCTGGTGTCTCTGAGTGTCCACATCTTCTTTCATGAGGACACCGGTTAGATTGGAAGAGGGCCCACCCTCAGGACCTCATTCTGACTTTATCTCTTTAAAGACCTCGTCTCCAAACATAGTCACATTCCCAACGCCGGGGTTTAGGACTTTGACATACACATTTTGAGGGGCACAGCTCGGCTTATAACACCACCTTTTCTACTAAGTGTGAGACGTTTTTCTTAAATACAAACAAATGAATAAAAACTTGGTATCTAGAAATGGGGATAACAAGAAGCTACAGATAAATGCTGAGCTGACAGTGTGGAGTGTGTCCCATTCTGAAGGGAAGTGTGGCAGCATCACAGCTCATCTTGTTTCTCCTTTTCCTCCTCAGTGTTGGAGTTTCTAGATTGAAAGACGTGCCTCCGTTTGGCCCCCCGATTTCCAAAGGCGTCAGGTTTTCGAAGTCAGCAGTGTTTCGGGACTTCCTGTTACACACAGAAAATGCAGCCCACAAATTGGAAAAGTTTCATGCGATGGCCACTTGGATGAGGCAGGAGTACTTGAAGGACCTGGCGGAGAACTTCGTCACGACCGCCACGTGGACACCTCTGTGAAGTTCAGCTTCATCACTCTGGGTGCATAGAAGGAGAAAGTCAAGCTGAGGAAAGATGCACATCTGTTCAGCATCAGGGCCATCATGTGGCATCTGGCGGCCCAGGACTTTGGCCAGTCAGCCGACATTGAATATCTGCTCAGGATTTCCAACGAGTTCATCAGGTTGATCAAAAAGAATTCCAAGAACATGGTCTTTAATTGTTCCTGCAGGGATGTCATTGGGTGGACCTCCAGACTGATGAGTATCAAGGTGTTTTACGAGAGAGGAGAGTGCATCCTTCTGTTTTGGGGGGGCAACTGTACTGAAGACATAAGGGAATTGTCTAGCGCCTGGGAGTAAGTACAGGTTTTGTGTTTCCTAGAATCGTCCCCAGGTCTTCAGTCCCAGATTCTCATTAGCTTTCACTGTGGAAATTCCACATGACTGTGGCACTGGGGGAATGAAAAACTATTTCTTGTGGATACAGGGCTTCATTTTAAATGCTGTGTCATTGCTGAATACACAAATGGTGGAGAAGCACCCAATACAGTTTGATTGGAAGGGGAAAGTGAAGCCAACTTTCAAAAGGGAGCATCAGGATATCCTAATACAGTATTTGAGGGGAAAACAGGAGAGTTTTCCAGATACGATGTTTGTTTGTAGAGGCTGCTCAAGGGGCACAGAATTGCTCTTGACCAGATGAATGAGTAAGTCCTCTGCAGCTTCAACTCTGCCTGTTCACACAGCAGGTATTTTGTATGAGCTGCCAGGTTAAACATGTCATTGATCCTCCAGCCACTGGTTTGTTTTGTTAATCCTCATCTGAGGATATGTTTCCATTTATCTTCAGATAGAGTAGTGGGGGGAGAGAGAGAGGGACATTGATGTGAGAGAGACACATTGATTATTTGCCTTCTTACGACCCCAATCAGGGCTGGGGACTGAACTGCAACTGAGATATGTACCCTTGACTGGAATCAAACCACCAACTCTTTGGTCCACAGACTGGTGCTCTAACCACTGAGCAAAACCCACCAGGGCCAGCCACCGTTTCTTAAGCAAGTTTTAAAGAACAGCTTATTAAGTTAACCTCACACAAAAATAAGTCATAAAGAATTTTTTAAAATGTTTTCTTCATACAAAAGCCCCTAGTGATGTCCATGGGTTTAATAGTTTTAGTTCTGCTCCTTATTTTAACAACTGAAGATACAGATTTTAGTTTGAGATTATACAATAAAGTTATAAGAATAAATCAAATCTAAGACAAAACATGTTTTGGCAAAATAATTGATCATGTGTAAATCATCCCCCAATTAGAAAAGATTTAGTCAATTATGGATCATGAATAAAGGAGAATTATACCCATTTCCTGTCCCTGTCCTCCCCCCTAAATACAAATCTCCCCTTTGTTATTGGAAATCATATACAAGAGACACTCTAGTCGGTGTCTGCTGTTCCTGGAGAAATGATTGCATTATTTGCAGACGCTGTTTACAGGAAGAGGCCTCAGTGAGCTCAGCGGTGATATCGGCTATGGTTACACCTCAGTGTAACTCGGATGACAGGGCATGTGATTGGTCTCTGTCTGGAGAATCGAGTTGTTCTCTGAGGTCTCAGGACTCACTGTGCTTTCAGGAATATTGCAAGTATTTAGAAGATCCACTGAGCCACCATAATATGTGCTCCCAAAAGTGCAACAGAAACAGAGACCACTGCACCAGCCACTGAAATGCACATCCTGTAGGCTGTTCATGCTCAGTGTTCCGTGGACCCCATCCTGCCACTTCCCTGGGAAGTGACTGTATCTAATGTGACTCGGGCGCCTGGTGTCTGGAGTATGTTTGAGGAGCTCTGTTCTGGGATTAGGATGATTTGCAGCAGGAGATGTTGGGAACAAGGTCCTCAAAGCCTTGTGGGATTAGGACCTAAGGTTGGTGCAGGACAGGAGCAACAGAATGGAAGGAAAGGAGCGTGTGGTCCCTGGGCAATGCTGGGAATGGGGGCTGTTCCACAGGTGTGAGCTCGGTGTGCTGTGTGGTGGGAAGGGCTGAAGGTGTTTGCTCTGCAGGTAAAGACAGGAAGGGAATGAGAGCTCACACCCACGTGGACGGGGCTCAGCTTCCTGGGTGCATGGCTCATGCAGTAGCTGGGACAATGCTCAGAAGGCCCGGGCTCAGCTCAGTCCTGTCCTGTTGCCATCTTGAAATTCTGAGTAATATTTTACTTCGGGGCCCTGCATTTTCATGTTGCCCCTGGCCACACAAATTATGTAGCTAGTCCTGGGTGTGTGCATGGAAGGCCACCATTTTCCTGTGATAATTGAGTCTGTGTAAGGCTGTGAGCAACTCTAAATAAATGGATGTTAAATTTGAACTTGAAATTTTGTTAATATTGGAAAGAAGGCAGGGCACGTGTCATATGTTGTTTTTGGTAGGGGGGCTTAGTTGAAACACAGTTGAAAAAAAAGTGACAAAAAATTTCTTCAAGTTGTACATATTAATTACAAAAGTACTTTCTCAGCAGTTTTAAATTAGTCAGGTGATAGCTTTGAAAATGTCAGTCTTTTGAAACTTCACCAGTAACTGAGACCAGTGGCCCCTTTCCCCAAACTGTCGTGTGTTTGTGAGGAACTGATGGTGCTGTGTGCCCTGTGGTGGTCACCGTGGGAACCTGAGATGGCGGTGAGACACTGAACCAGCCCCAGCCCCACAGCTGTACCTACAGTCAAAGGTTGTATTAAATAGGCATGTGTGTGTTCAGAGCTTGTTTTATGAAGATGGAGCATTTATTAAACTGAATCTTCATGCATTGGCTCTGTGCTTTGGGCATATGGACATGATACCTCCTGACTTTACATTTCCCACAAATAAGTGATGCCACACCCACTTGACATTTAATGAGCTCATGTTTTTCTTCCTGTGCATGGAAGCTGTTCTCAGGAAGCCCTCTGGGGGGTGGCCTTCACTGATTCTTGGTGCTGTAGTGGACTGAGTGGGGTGCAGACCCCCTTCTTCATTCCTTTCTGTGACCTGCTGCATCCTGTCCTCTCGGGGAGGGAAGTGCCTGGGAGCTGCTGCAGCTCAGGGTCTCCTGTGGCACCTGAGGAGTGGCCCAGGGGAGGAGTGCCACCCTGCACACCACCCTGGTAGCAGGTGCCAAGGGGCCTGGCTGGCCGGCCTCATTAGTGCTGAACCATCCTCAGCGCCCCAGGCAGCCAGCCCACAGGAGGGGGGCGGAAGTGCCAGCACAGGTGCCCACCGGGCCGGTGCCTCCCAAGCACTTCCAGCTTCCCTGGCATCTGCCCCTGCTGCTGCCCATCCTGAGGCCCAGTCGCTCAGTGTTCGCTTGAGTGCTCTGGGCCATTTTGAAGTTGAATGTAGTTCTCTGATAGGTTTTAACATTTGACGGGTGAAGTTTGTAATGGTTTCGAAAGTCTTGTTTCTATTGGTACAGTCCGTCTGGAACAATGCAATTTCTGTACTTACGAGACAAGGCAGTTGACACGGGAAAGGAAGGGGGATTATCAGAGCCCGTCTCAAGCGCACACGCTCCAGGCCAGGGCCTCTAAGAAAAAGCAGGACACCTGTATCAGGGATGGGTTTGCCTTTGAAGAATGAGATCATTGTTTAACTCTTGTTACTGTTTTTGCACATGACGCCACAGCCAACTATGGTGAATTTGGGGTCGAAAGGTGTCCCTGTCACTGGGGCAGTTCGAGGGAAGGGCTGTGAGGCTGAGGGAGGAGCGGGCACAGAGAAGTGTGTGCACCTCTGACAGGGGACCCCACAGTGGCATCTCTAACAGTCTCCTGTCCCCTTAGATAGTGACCAGAGGCTGTGAGACCGTGGAAATGACCCTGAGGAGGAACGGGCTAGGCCAGCTTGGCTTCCACGTGAATTTTGAAGGAATTGTTGCCGACGTGGAGCCTTTTGGGTTTGCCTGGAAGGCTGGCCTGCGCCAGGGGAGCCGCCTCGTAGAGATCTGCAAAGTGGCCGTGGCCACTCTGACCCACGAGCAGATGATCGATCTGCTGCGGACATCCGTGACCGTGAAGGTGGTCATCATCCAGCCGCAGGACAACACCTTGCTCTGCAGGTGAAGTAGGGTGGGACCTGCTGCTCCTGTGGGCGCTCAGAGAATGGTCAGGTGTCCTCCACCAAGGTCTCTGATACCCACCAGCAAAGTGATAAATGCCTCCCAGACGCTCTTGGTGTACAGCACGTGATGCATTGTCAGGCTAGGCAGTGGTATGGGACGTGGAGCACATAGCAGCTGTGGACAGAGTGGCAGAGCAGCCAGTGAGACTGTCTGGGGAGAGGTCTCTATCGAGCTCAGCCTGTAGCAAGTTCAGTACTTTCCTGTGCACTGCTCGAATTCCTCCCACAACGTGGTCATTGATCGCTAACAGGATGTTTATGAGATCAAAGCCGGTATCTCTGCAGGAATGCCGGAACATCAGGCATATTCCGTGTGACTGCTGCCTTCTAGTCGAACCGGTGTGGCCATTCTGACAAGCTGTCGTGAGCAACAGGAGAAGTAGTGGCTGGACTTGGAATGCTGAGAGGTGGGCAAGTGGAAGGTAGAAACAAAGGTGGAATTAGGAAGTAGTACTCTTTCATTGTTAATAGAAAAGATTCATGCTGGCATCAAGAAAATATCAGGCCAAAGGAGAAAGAATGCTGATTTGGAAGCAGCCATCGGTCTGCCTCTGCCCACGGTGCGCTGTGGGGCCTGGCAGTGTCTGCAGCACAGCCGCCTCCGTCCCAGGAGTTCCTGTGGGCACCATAGGAGCTCTGGTTCTGGGGAGAGTGTGCTCAGAGTCCAGGCCTTCGCTGTGTGGTCTCGGGTGAGTCACGTGTGTGCTCCCTAAGCCACACTTAGTATCTGTAAGGTGGGGATCATAATGTCGCCGACCTCCTACTGTGCAGATTGAATAAGATGAAGATTAAAAGCACCTCGTGGCATCATCAGCACTGCATGTCTTATTAAAAACACTTTTAAGATATTTTATTTGAATTTTGTTATGCTCTAAGATAAATTCTTTTTTCTTTTTTAAATCCTCACCTGAGGATATTTTTCCATTTATTTTCAGACAGCGTGGGAGGGACAGAGAGAGAAACATCGATGTGAGAGAGACACATTAATCGGTTGTCTCCTTATGACCCTGACCAGGGCTGAGGACCAAACACAACCAGGGTACGTACCCTTGACTGGAATTGAACCTGCAAAACTTTGGTCCGTGGGCTGACAGTCATACCGCTGAGGCAAAGCATCCAGGTCTAAAATAAATTCTTATCATTCAGAGATAACAAGATGCCATTTCTACTTTCTAAACTTCTTCCCGTGGTAACTGAGGACTTTCTTTCTGCGCTCTCCACCTCCGGTCCACCTGTGCAAGCAGTGCGGTGCCCCAGCACTTTCCCGATGCAGGTCCCTAACCTGTACTGTCCAGAACAGTAGCCACAGCCACGTATGGCTGCTGCACACTGGAAATGTGACTAGTATGACTGAAGAGATGAGTGTTTTATTTTAATTAATTAAGATTTAATTATCCATGTGGGGGAAGAACACATTTTCCTCTACCCTCAAGGTTTTTCTGGCTGGTCTAATAATCAAAGAGACAGGAGACAGATTAGCAAGAGAAAATCAACAAATTTAATACATGCATATGTATGGTGGCCCCCCGTGCACTAGAGGCTCAGAGGTAAGAAAATTGAGCAATCTAAGACATGTTGAGCCAGGGACGGAGTAAGGCACCTCGAGACGTCCACGGCATTTAGTGAATAGAAGCATGTCCTGCCCTGCAGACAGGTCAGAGGAGGTTACCTTTGACCACCGGTTACTATGAGCCAGGCCCTGGCTTAAGCTCTTCTAGGTATAAGGAGAGACAGAAGTTTCTCTTGTGCCTGAAGCTAATGTTGCCTTTAGCTGCAAACCATCTTCATACCACAGAGGTACATCTTGGGGTGACTTATTCTGGACCCCATAGTTACAGAGGCTGGTAGCTGCCATATTGGCTGGCTCGGCTCCAAATGATCTTTTTAGGGATCACAGCAGTGGGTACCACCCTCCTCTCCAGGTCACCCGCACAGTGTTGTAGAAGTCTGTCTCTATCAGTTGTCTTGTAGTTTGCTCCCTACCTGCTGCTTCCCTGTGCTGTGATTCTCTGTCTGCCCAGTAGCTTTACAAAATCAAGGTCTGAGGAGCTGAAATTCCTCTTGAGAGTAGCAGCCTCATGTTGGGGTGGGAGTATCCAAGACAGTTCTTTTGCCTTGTCTGGTTCTGAGCCGTTAAACCCACTTGCTCCCCGAGAACCACATGCAGTGGCATGAGTAACAGATATTGAAGACAAATACTTTATTAAAGTGAGACTTGGAAAGAATAGAAGACAAATCCGTTAGACCTTTGAAGCTAAGATATTATGTAAAGTGAAGGTCTTTTAAAATAAATTTTAAGCCAGTTATTAGATATATTTTTCATACAGTAACATTTCTATCTTCCTTTGGTAGAGTTAAAAATTTGTAAATCTTATGGTGAAAACCAAGCCCTTTTATCTGTCTCACAGGTTGATTGCTGCCATAGAATTAGACACAAAGGGCACCATGCTCTCTCTCCCTTTGGGTTTAAAACATATGTCTCCTATTTTTAGTTTTGGCCTACAGTAAGACATTTTTAAACCTTTAAAAATATCTGGTTAATAAAAAAATTTAAAGTTATCACTATGTTTGGTATTTAAAACATGATTTTTTAAAAAATAGAATTTTCTAGGAAATAGTGAATATTTTTAGCAAAAAAAAAAAAAACCCCAAAACTACCACTGAAAAGGTTTGGCTTTTTTTTTTTCTTTTCAATCTAACTACATGTTTAACTGCCTTGGTCTGTGCATAATCAATTCTTACTTTGCGTTAAATGCAAATTCTTTTATTAAAGCTATTCAAGATATTTAGAGACTTTTGCCTTTGTTCCCATATGTTATTCCCTGGAAATACAGATTTTTCTCTTGATTAATTTAGAATAAGTGGTTTATGTTTTGTAACTTGAGCCGGGATTAGAATTAGCCATTTGTCTCGTAGTAACTTTCCAAAATTAACATGCCCTCTGTCCACATTTCTGCAAGTCTTGAAGGTTTTAAGCATGTATCATTCAAAATTCTTTCAATTCAGTCTTCCAAAGTTCTGTGAATTTGAATTTTTCAATTTTTAAATCCACATTTTTGTTAGTTTGTTGATCTGTGCTCTACCTGTGCCTGCCTGTCTGCCCCATGAAAGCTTTTGCTCTTGTTGGGCAGCGTCTTTATGGACCTTATCCTGGGACCACAGACCTTTGCCTTCACACCCGGCCCATGTGTGGTCATTTACATTCCGTCAGTGCTCTGAGTTCAGCCTCTGCATTATTAGATTTGTTTTTTTAAGAACTGTAGAGGAGGGTCTTAAAGGGAAAATGGGTAGCATTTGACTCATTTTAAAAATTAAAATGCAGATATTTTACATGAAACATTGCTTAGCACTCTCAGTCCTATAGCAAAATATGCAAACATAGTCTTCAAACTAAGCTACATCTTTGATTTGTGGCATGAAAGCTAGCCCATCCTCTTTGACAAATAGGCTCTTGATGTTTGTCAGGGAGTGGCAAGAAGAAAACATTCATTTACACGGATATATGTGTGTGTGTATAATTTTTTTAAAGTTGTCTTTAATGTAAGAACCATAAGAACTACCAAAATGGCCCAATTAATGAAATACAAGAGATTTCATTCTTCATAAACATCCCAAGTATGAAGTGAAAATGCTTCAGTTCATTTCTGCCATTTATCAACTTGATTTTTGTCCATCAGGAGATCAGTGAGAAGTAATCCTCCTCGGAGCCCATCTGCCCCTGTCAGTGGTGGGTGAGGCCTATCATTTAACAGTGCTCCCCCACCTGGTTGTCTGAGAGTCAGGTGCTTGTCATGGCTCAGAAGCATTAAACGAAGCCCTTATTGGTAATCTGTTTACATTGAATCAAAAGCTACCCCACATTTTGAAGTCTCCTTCTCAAGTTTCAGGGTGATGATAATTCAGCTGTCCCTCAGCTTGAGTTCCAGAGAGCACCAAGCAGGGAGGGTGCCCTTTGGGGATGCTTATTAAGTGATTTCGTGCTGGGATTGGATCTGGAGTGAATTCATATCGGGAATGAGTGGCAAGAAGCAGTTTGGGAATAGTGCTCTTCAGATGAAAACGGGGTTTGGGGGGGCATTTCCCCTGCAGACAGTCTGTGCCAAGATGAAGACGACTTGCTGAAGCCACTCAATTAACCTTGGTTTTGGGAGGGATGGTGTGGCTCAGCCTCCAGCCTTCCTAGGTGACTGACATGCTGTGCATGTCATCTCAAGGAAAGCAAATCAACTTAGAAGGCTGATATAAAGGAAATAACAACTCATCAGAATTACGCATGAGTTGTTATGCAGTGTGAGTGATTTAGTAAATATGTCCAATAAAAATGGAAGTGGAATTCCTTGCTGGGGTGCATCTGTTTTGTTTTGTGTGATTTTTTCATACTCTGTTGACATGACATATTTTTATATATAATGCAAAACAGTGGAAATTATCTCATGTTGTCATGAATCCAAAGTGTGGTTTTTTTCATCATTCAATAAAATTGAAGCCTTATGTTCTTGTCTTCTGCATAATGCCTGTTGCCTGACCATTCATCTCCCTAAAGTACACCGAGGAGGAAATGAAAATGGAAGCTGGAAGGAGAGCTCACTTCTGTTAGATGAACAATATGTGTGTGTGTGTGTGTGTGTGTGTGCACACATGTGTACATGTGTGTGTGTGTGTAGATAGTGGATGGTGAGTGGAAACCTGGACTAAAATGAGGTTTTAGATTAAAGTTTCAATTTATTTGTATGGATGAGAAAAATTATTTGTATCTGTTGTCTTATGGACCCTGGAAAAATACACAACTTAGGTTCTCAAAGTAACTGAATCACACACACTGTTCTGAGTTCCTACAAAACAATGTTCAGATGATCTCCTCACTGTTTGAAGTAAGAACATTGGATTACAGAGCGAATATTAGACAGGTTGCTTCACATTTATTCATTTATTTGTTCA